AACTGCAACCATTTCTATCTCCACACACTCATGCCATGACATTGAAACCTTCCACAGACTTTCGTGAGCAATGGTGAAGAAAACTTGACGTGCCAGAGACAAAAGACCAGGTGAAGAGCTAGCCACTGAAGCTTGGGGAGAACTTCAGTTTCAGAGACTTCTCACATTGTTGAATCAAGAAAATCATTCTTTCATGCATATATACAAGCATAGCCTATAGTTTTTGCATCATCCTATTTTTAATAGATTAGTTTCTCAGAATATTTGGAACAAATTCAAATGAAGCAATCACTCCTTAATAGGTTTCTTTCCTAGAACAATCCCTAGAGGAAACAGATTTGGATCTTGCCGATGAAGAATACTGAATGTCAGGTGATATAAAACATATAATGTGAAATGATATAAGCTCTGAAGTTTAATGATTAATGAATTATGAGTTGTGAAGTAGGATGTATTCATGTAATGCTATTGAAGCCAGCCTGAAGGAGGAAGCAACTAACCCACCCACACCAGATCGAAGGACAGCCTGAGTAGAGTAGGGACCTCATCTAAGTAGCTCTGAGGTGCAGAGGCAGAAAAATTGGAGCTAGAGCAGCTATTGAATTTCTAATATCTGAAGAGTACAGTACTGCCCTGTGTGAGAACAATAATTCTGTTCACATAACTGAATTTGGTTCATTCAATTCCAATCCAATATTAATTTTTAAACTATGCATGACTCAAATGTTTTTTTTCTTTCTTGCTATTGTTTCTAACATATTTATAAGATATTTCTTTGTTGCATTGTATGTCCCTCCCCCACGGTATAATACCTGTTTTCACTGTATTTGATGTAGGTATAATTCGTGGAGGGGAAGGTGGACCTATTGCAACAATGAGATGTACAAGACGCTATGTCGAAAAAGGAACTTTACAACTTTGGCCCAGGGGTGGGGGGAAGGGGGACAGAGAGGGGGGCGGGAAATGGAAAGGGATGGTAAGGAGAAACAAAGGAGGAGGCAACAATGCTTGAGAAGAAATGTACTCATTACCTTGCCCATGTAATTGTAACCTGTCTGTATGGTATTTTCACAATTTAAAAAAAAAAAACTATGCATGAAAAATGTATTTTCCAAAGAGAAAGCAACACTTAAGAGCTTCTCCACTATTATTCTGTAACTTCAGCTTGTCACTGGCTCCACTGATCAAATGTCAAAACATGTTTACTTCACATTGGCTCTTCTGTGTCACAAGACCTGGGGGCAGGGTCACATTTGCATCTCTCTGAATCACCCAAAAATCTTTATCAGGTGCTGAACTCCACTAAATGGTGGTGGTTTTCAATTTACCTTGTAAATAGATAATCCATCAAACTCCACTGGAATAGTTTTGCTCTTAAGAGTTTTTATTGCTTAATGGTAAAAGATGCACAAAAACATTTAATTTAAAAGACTCACTTAATATGAACATATTTCTTTTGATTACATCACCACTTAAAGACAGTGACTCTAAATATAGTAAGGCACCAACCTGTGTGTCCCTCCATCTGAGTTCAAGACCTACTCTTGCTCTCCACTTATCTGAAGTGAAAGAACTTGCTCTAGTAGATGATACCTATAGTAGCCCATAAACTAAATTTTTGTCATAGAATTTTGTTGAAAACTTAAATGATATCATGTTCCCAGCAATTAAGTAATGGAATTCTCAACAACCAATAGGAAAAAATCACAATAGAAGGCAGAAAGAATTTTGAATTTGATGATGATGAAACCTTGTAGCATAATCGTTCATGAGTCATGAGTTCATGAGTCTTCCTCACAAATTTTAGACAAATATGAATATTTTATTATGATATTATAAATCCTTGATTCACATTCTTGCTTCCTGTTGCTATTTAGATTATCTAAATAGTATCAAAAATTATTTTGATTGCATTATTGTGCATGAAAACTTCCTAATCCAGTATATGTTTAGTTTTAGGGCTAAAGGGTCATTGTGCTTGCAAAATACTCTTGAGCCTTTCAGAGAAAAGATAAATATGTTTGTTTTTCAACATAACGTCTTGTACATCTCATTGTTGCAATGGATCCACCTGTATCTCTATTTAAACAATTTGTTTTTTCCCTTCCCCTCCACAAATTATACCAACATCAAATACAGTGAAAACAGGGGTTATATCATGGGGAAGGAACATGCAAAGCACCAAAGAAATCATCTTATAAATATGTTAGAAACAATAGCAAGAAAGAAAAACCCTTTGAGTCCTTATCTTGGGGTTCATTTTGCCTAACATCAACTTATCTGAACTTTCCTGTTTGTCTCAGACATATACTAGTTATTGCAATAAGGAAAACCATGGGACCTATGTTTCTTTGGGCCTGGCTTACTTCATATAATTTTTTCCAAGCCTTTCCATTTCCTAACAAATGGGGCAATGTCATTCTTTCTGATGGAGGCATAGAATTCCATTGTGTATATATACCACATTTTCTTGGGGGGGGGGGGGGGGAAGGGTGGCGAAGGAGGGGGGGAGGGTGGCAAGGAAGCAACAATGCTTGATAAGAAAATGTGAACATAAGTTAGACTTCCATCAGCTAAGCTGGTTCTGGAGTGGATACATTCCTGGGGTGATGAGCTTGCTCTAGATTTTTTGTTGTTGTTGTTTTGTTTGTTTGTTTTTATTGTGAAAATACTGTACAGAGGGGTTACAATTACATGAGCAAGGTAATGAGTACATTTCTTTCTTTTTTTTTTATTGTGAGAATACCGTACAGAAGAGTTACAATTACATGAGCAAGATAACAAGTACATTTCTTATCAAGCATTGTTACCTCCTCTTTGTTTCCCCTTCCCATCCCTTCCCATACTCCCCCCCTCACCCCACCTGATCCTCCACCCACCCCCCCACCAAAGTTGTAAAGTTCATTTTTCAACATAACGACTTGTACACACCATTGTTGCAATGGGTCCACCTGTATCCCTAGTTAAATGATTTGTTTTTGCCCTTCCCCTCCACAACTTATACCAACATCAAATACAGTGAAAGCATAGGTTATACCGTGGGGGAGGGACATACAAAGCAACAAAGAAATATCTTATAAATATATTAGAAACAATTGCATGAAAGGAAAAAAAAAACAAAAAAACATTTGAATATTTATCTTGGGGTTCATTCCCCTAACATCAGCTTATCTGACCTGGTCTACTTGACTCAGACATATACTAGTTATTGCAAATAAGGAAACTATGGCTGCCCAATAAATAAGTGGGCTAAAGACTTAAAGAGAATCTTCTCTGAAGAGGAAAGAAGGATGGTCAATAGACAATGAAGAAATGCTCAGCCTCTCTAGCCATAAAAGAAATGCAAATCAAAACAACATTGAGATATCACCTCACCCCAGTTAGAATGGCTATAATCAAGAACTCTAATAACAACAGATGCTGGAGGGGAACCTTACTGCATTGTTGGTGGGAGTGTAAACTTGTTCTACCACTTTGGAAAGCAGTATGGAAGTTCCTCAAAAGACTCCACATAGAGCTCCCCTATGACCCAGCAATCCCACTTTTGGGCATTTACCCAAATGATCACCAACAAGACCATACTAAAGCTACCAGCATGACTATGTTTATTGCAGCATTATTTACCATAGCTAAGATATGGAACCAACCCAGATGCTCCTCAGTAGATGAATGGATCAAGAAAATGTGGTATATATACACAATGGAATTCTATGCCTCCATTAGAAAGAATGACATTGACCCATTTGTTAGGAAATAGAAAGACTTGGAAAAACTTATATTAAGTGAAGTAAGCCAGGCCCAAAGAAACATAGGTCCCATGGTTTCCCTTAGTTGCAATATCTAGTATATGTCTGAGTCAAGCAGAAAAGGTCAGATAAGTTGATGCTAGGGAAATGAACCCTAAGATATGTATTCAAATGTTTTTTTCTTGCTATTGTTTCTAACACATTTATAAGAGTATTTCTTTGTTGCTTTGTATGTCCCTCCCCCACAGTATAACCCTGCTTTCACTGTAAAAAAATTTTCTTTCACTAACATTTAAGATATATAGGGTTTTTTTTTTGTTTTGTTTTTGTTTTGTTTTTTTTTGTCGGTCATGGGGCTTGAACTCAGGGCCTGGGCACTGTCCCTCAGCTCTTCAGCTCAAGGCGAGCGCTCTACCACTTGAGCTACAGCGCCACTTCTGGTTTTCTGGTGGTTTATTGGAGATAGGAGTCTCATGGTCTCTCCTGCCCGCGCTGGCTTTGAACCGCGATCCTCAGATCTCAGCCTCCTGAGTAGCTAAGATTACAGGCGTGAGCCACCAGCGCCCGGCAGATATATGGGTTTTTAAAATCAAATTTCAAGTATACTGTATAACATGACTACTGAAGCTTTGTTTTTGTCTAATATTTCTGGCTTTTGCCCATTCTCCCATCAATGACAACTTCTCTCTACTCTTATTAATATGAGTATTTTAGATTCTTGGTATATATGATGTTACACAGCATTTCTCTTTCTGTGTCTCACTTATATTACATAGTGTAATGTCCTCCTAGTTGATCCTTGTTACATATGATAAAAAAATTTTACCTGAAGAATCTTAGAAACACAGTTCAGTGTTTGAATTTGGAAGTACCACTGTGAGACTAATGCAGACTAGGTGGCTTTATTCTACAGTTTTACCACTTTGTATGGATTCTAAAAATAAAAGAGTGACAAACAATACAAATATCAATGCAGATATTTAATAAAAATCAGGGTGGTGCTGTGAATATTTCATTCATTTATTAATTACATAATACTCATTGGTTCCTATTATATGCACATATAGTTTTCCAGATACAATAGTATAGTGACTAACTTACACCAAGAAAATATGTTAATGGCACAAACATAAGGGCTCATTCAGTAATTTTATTTGTCAGAAATGCTTTGGACGAAAACAAAGTCAGCATCAAACGTAGGAGGACTTAGAATTACAGTCCAATGAATCATGTTATAGTGAATATTGTACTTATTTATGATCCTGATATAGCTTTCCTTCTCCATAGCTTCTTCATGGCATTTGTCATCTCTGAGTTCCTCAGAGTGTAGATTAGTGGGTTCAGCATGGGTGTTATGACTGTATAAAACACACTCAATGATTTGTCAATGGGGAAAGTTCTAGCAGGTCTTGCATACATGAAAATGCAGGGAACAAAGAAGCAGACAACCACAGTAATGTGAGAGCCACAGGTGGAGAGAGCTTTCCGCCTCCCTTCCTTACTCAGGTTCTTTAGAGAATGCAAGATGACACCATAGGAGATGAGCAAGAGCAGAAACACAACCATACAGATGAGCCCCCCATTGGCCAACACTAAGACCCCAATGACATAGGTGTCAGTACAGATCAGTTTCAACAAGGGGTACATGTCACACATGAAATGATCAATGACATTGGGACCACAGAATGGAAGCCCATATATAGTGCTGAGTTGAATTACTGAGTGCAAAAGACCGCCAAACCAAGACAGTACAAGCAGCACAACACAAACCCACTGCCTCATGATAACCAAATAATGCAAAGGCTTACAGATGGCCACATAGCGGTCATAGGCCATCACCAACAGTAGAAAGACCTCTGACCCACCAAAAAAGTGCTCAGTAAAGAGCTGGATCATACAAAACTTGAAGGATATGGTTTTCTCCCCAAAGAACAAGTTAGAAATCAACTTGGGGGAGATGGATGATGAATAAATGATATCCACAAATGATAAACTACCAAGAAAGAAGTACATAGGTGAATCTAGGGTCTTACTGAAAGTAATGGTCAGGACGATGAGCAAATTCCCCACCATGGTCAGAAGGTAAAACAACAAGAACATAACACAAAGTACTTTCTGTTCTTTTGGATTCTGAGTGAGACCCAAGAGGACAAAGTAAGTTACATTGTTCCTTGGTTCCATTTCTTCTTTTCTTGGAGTTTACCTACAAAACAGTGCATTCTTAGAAGTATTTTCATCTTAATTATTATTTATCCTCCATTAAATATAGAGAGATAGAAATGAAGCATGTATCTGTTCTAAATACAAGTGTGATCAAGTTCCATCACACAGAGTTCCTCATCAAAATAATCAGTACAAATGTCAGAGTTCACAAATTTAAAGACAATTTAACAAGTCAGTATAAATATATTTATTTATTTATGCCATGGAGTAGATTTGCTATGGATGAATTTCTAAGTCACCTGAAGCTTGTAAGGCATCACTAAAGAAGGAATACTTTAGATGAGTTTAAAGGACAAGTGAGCTAACAGGAGGGAATGAAAATAAGAATGCCATGAAAAGACGTATCATGCACAAAGTCACAAAGACGTCCTCATGTAGACTCATTCCAGGTAATTCACATACTCATTATGGGAGCCAAAAATAACAACTATAATACCATAGACCAAAGTCACCACATTAATAACCACAGCTGGAAATTTAGAACAATGATTATCTTTTCTCCACGTTGAAATAGAATGTGTCTCGCTTCCATTCGAGACCTCAGCCACAGTATTCATATCTAGAAACATTCTTTTCAGGATGATGATGATGTCTGCATGTGAATTCTCTAAGACAATAGATGGGTTTTTTCCATAATTCTTTCCTAAGCCCTCACCAGAATTCTTTCATACATCGTCTTTGAGGGTGTTAGATTCTTCTACCATGAATCGCAGAACTTCCAGCAGCTACCCAATTCTCAATATCTGAGCTACTTCTATCTTGCGATGCATTATCAGCAGAACTCAGACTTTCACGTACCAAAGCTACATTCTTTTGCTAGGGCCTCTAATTGCAAAGAAGAAGAAACTAAGTAGTTTGGACAACAGAAATATATTGTCTCAAACCTTTACATGCCAGATATTCAAGATCAGGGTAGAGATAATACTGAGTCCTTCAAAAGATTATGAAGGAAGGAGCAGGTCCAAACCTGGCCTCTTTATTTATGGCTGACTGAGTGATCATGTGGCATTATCCTTGAACACATATTTCCCACCTAATAAGAACATCCATACACTGGATTGGAGTCACCCTTATGACTTTAACTTCATTACATCTACAAAGACGCTGTCCACAAATAGAGTCACATCCTGAGATCCTGGAGGTTAGCATATAAATTTTGGGAGTGGTGTGGAAAGAAGGAAAATAAAACTACACTTCTGGGGCTGGGAAGGTGACTCAGTGGTAGAGTGCTTGCCTAGCATGCATGAGGCCCTGGGTTCGATTCCTCAGTACCACATAAGCAGAAAAAGCCAGAAGTGGCACTGTGGCTCAAATGGTAGAGCGCTATCCTTGAGCTGAAGAACTGAGGGGGAGTGCCCAGGCCCAGAGTTCAGGCCCAAAGACCAACCAAAAAAAAAACAAGAAACAAAAAACTACACTTCTTTCACACGACATGAGGCATGAGCAAGAAATATGTGTCTCAGATATCCAACAGTCTCTACAACCTCCTTTAACTGTCCTCCTCAGGATCTGCCTCACTTCTCTGGACTATACAAGCTCCAATCACTCACAAATTGTGTCTCCACCACTGTTTCTCCTCCAGGGTTTTGTTTATGTTTTGTTTTGCTGAATGGCTAGAGTTTGAACTCAGCTTTGAACTGTCTAGGCAGATTGAGCTCTATCTCTAGCTTCTCTCCTAAATGTCAAACTAGTATCTGTTTAACATCCTCAATCAAATATTTATTGAGTATTTTGTAGAGTTGAAAGGGGTGATATCGATGGAGATGCATTTTATTTAGAGACTGCTCTGCAGATTGGCAACTCCTTTGTATACCTACTTAAAGATAATGTATGTACGTACATAATAAAAAAGTAAATATTTAATTTTTAACAATTCTGTTCCTTCAATGTTTTCTCCATTTAATGAAATAGTACTTCTTTCCATAGTATAATTCAAGGCAAATTATTGCAGTGGTTTTCTTTTTTAAAATTGTATGGAAGAAGTTATGCAAAGGGGCATCAGTTAACCTGTCAGTTTATGAGTACAATGCATCTGGATTAATGTCACCTTTTCATCATTCTGCCTGTATCTTTCCCAGCTACATCCATCTCCTCAAGTTACCTTGTTCCACTTTGACATGTGTACATTGGCTATTGTGACTGTATTTACCTACTCTTTCTCTCTTGGTTCATCTGTCCCTCTCCCCTTGACTTTACACTGTCTGACAATACATGCTTCAGCTTCCTAGTATTTATTTTAGTACAGTATTTTTGGCTCCATCTTTCCTCTAGTGTTATTTACTCATATGTTTAGTAAGTCCTGTTGATTTTTCATAATATACTGCAAATATAACTATGTCACTATACCTCATTACATCCCATATTCCTTGTCTATGTATTTGCATTTTGCCCTCCAACAAAAAAAGCATAGGAACTATAATTGAAGTCATGTCATCCAAGGATAAATTTTTTTTGAGGGTCCTGGGGCTTGAACTCTGGGCCTGGGCTCTGTTTCTGAGCTTTTTGTGCTCAAAGCTAGCATTATACCACTTGATCCTCAGCTCCACTTCTGGAATTTTGTGCTTAATTGGAGATAGTCTCACATTCTTTCCCGGCCAGGCTGGCTTTGAACCCATGATCCTCCAACCTCAGCTTCCTGAATAGCTAGAATTATAGTCATGAGCCATTGGCACCTTGCTAGGGACAAAATTCTTTGTACCAACTGAGGAATTTTCTTTTCACCAGGGGTCATCAGCTTTTTCAGATAGAAGTACAACTCTTTAACATGTCTGCTAACTTAGTCTCCTTTCATTTATTAAAATATCTTTATGATGGTATGTGTTATATAAAACATGACCAACTTTCTGCCTGCAGAATGGGGATTTTTTTACGTATTAACTCTTATAAAGTCAGTGAACATAATTTCCCAAATAATAAAAAATTCATCCCATTGCAAAACCTAGTTTGTACTATCAATTATTGAGATCTTACCTTTTGGGAGCTTGTCACTGTGTGAGAAACTTTTCACCTTTCTCTTGAAGAGCTGGAGCTCTCTCTTCCATTTAATATTCACACAGAAGGCATACAATTGTCATTATACCTTTGAGATAAATTTGACATAGTCATATTGCTATGTCAGAATATTTTCTAAGGCAAGTCTTAAATACTTCAGAAGACCACCCCCTTCACGATACAGCAAATTGAAAAGAATTATATGGTACCCGGGAAAAGCAATACTTTTATACTCTGAAAATTTGTCAAAAATGCAAACGAACCCTGTGTCCATATAAGGAGATAACAACTAGCCTTTTCACAAGAAATGTTTTTTTCATAACTTCTTTTCTAGCAACTTCAAGTGAGTTTACCATCTGACTACTTAGACCATCACCTCTCCTGTTGCTATTTCCAAGTACTTGTCCTTGACACTCAGAAAGGTCATTCTTGTGACTTTTTATATGATCCCTAAAGACTAATAAAGCACCTTCTGAAGTTGTTATATCACTTACAAACAGAACAGCATCTGCTACCTGACAAGGGCAACAATCACTGAATATTTTATACCCTGTAACCATATTAATCATGGACTCTTGCCCCTGGAAACTTCCCAAGAATCCTTGTTTAATTACATTCACTGGGATTTCACATCAATTTTTAAGAAAAAAATACATATACAAAGATACCAGGACATCAGTCACATCAATATGTATATATTGATGTATATTGTGAGAACCCCCCAAAAGTCAAGCTGTGATCCCCAAAAGGTTTGGGAGAATGGGATGTCTCCTCCCAACATGGACTCTCAGAATGCTGAGAGTTTCCCAAAAAAGTCTATCTGTCCTGGCTTGAATTCAGATTTCCATCCCCAGATGTAAGGTATCTCCACATCAAACTTTCTGGGAACTTGGGGAGAGACAAAAATCTATGCTAACCATAAGTCATTTTACTGCTTACACCTGCTTCTTAAGAGGAAAAAAAAGTTATTTATCATGTAAGTAAAATTATACCACATGATTGGTGCTTGTGACTTTGAGGAAGTTGTGGCTTCATTTGCTGCATATGCACCTGTACCCTCCTCAATCAATACCTTGTAAAATGGACTCGGGACACCTGAGGCTGGCAGAAAATTTCAGGCTCCTGGTTCCCCAAACCTCCATTTGACAGTCTGTGTTCATTATTGTCTCGTCCCCACCCACTGCAGATTGTGACACATATACATTGCAGAATGCTTGAATTGACTTAAATGTATTTACTTCACCAATATTTCTCATTTTTTTCTGGTGACAGTTTTCAATATCCTTCCTTCTAGGATTTTGAAAAGTACAGTGCATTGCCATGTACAGTCACCCTGATAGACAAACTAGAACTTATTCTTAGCTAGCATGACTTACAGTCCACTGACCAATCTTTTCCCACCACTCCCTTGCATTCTTCCTGCCCACTGGTAACCACCAATCTCATCTCAACTTCTATGAGACTCAATGTTGGCAAAAAGCATTTTGTTTATTTTTATTGTAAAGGTGATGTACAGAAGGGTTAGAGTTACCTAGGCCAAGTAATGAATACATTTTGTTTTGAACAGTGTCACCCTTCCCTCATTTTCTTCCTGTTTTTCCCTCCCAAGTCTCCTCCCCCACAAGTTGTATAGTTCATTTTCAACATAGAGAAAAAGTGTTTTGTAGATGCAAAGATATTGGTTGGTACTGACTCAACTTCCAGTTGGGGCAGGTTTTTCCTCGTGTACTTTCTAGAAATAACAAAATTCTGGCTATGTCTAGATCAAGACCTTTGTCTCCATAAATGAAAAAGATATCTTCTCATATGATGAATGTTAGCCACTGATTTTCAAGGTCATTATTTCTCCTGTGGACATCATGTAGCAAGCTTTGAATAACAGGGGAAGATACTGACTTGAGTTCTATTCAACTAGTTTATATAACATTATGTGGATTTTATGCTCTCTCAAAATCTTAATCTTTGTTCATATGTACTGTGAAAAGTTAATGTACAGTTCATCACATAAGCCTTGGATGTGGCATTGTATAAAAACTATAGAACAAACTGCTTGCCACTCAGTGGTACATAATAAATTCCATGGCTTTTGTTGCCTCTTCTTTTCTTCACCAGTGTCATATTTCTGTCCTTTTAAAAGATTTGTGACTTATAGAAATGTACACGTATATTATACTAAGAAGCCATGAGGAACTTTTTGGAATCTCCAGAGTGAAATTTTGAAAAATTGGTATAGGATGGAGAAGATAGATTCGAATAACTCACCTTAAAAATTGGTATATCTGCAAAAGAGTCAAAAGAACAGAGAGCAGGAAGAATAAATAGTCATGACATCTGTATTTTCCCAGAATATCTAACTTTTTTGTGCAATTTTTAGACAGTGAGTGTGCATTGCACGATCTATGAAGAATTGTGTTCATGATTCTGTGGAAGAGATTTCCCAGGACATGACTTAATAAGTTAATGATCCATTAATATAGTAGAAATGCAAGTATAATCTTTTGTTGCTTAAAATATGTGCATAGATAAACTGCTTACATGTATGTGGATCATTTATCTAAGTATAGATACATCTATTCAACAACATTCCTATGCATGAGACTTCTAGTTATGTCCAAGAAATGTACACTTCACCAAATATCCAAACTGATCCTGACAGTACATACTCTGACATATACTGTTCACGAAGCCCAGAATCATTTTTACAGTTGGTACTCTGAAGTCAACTTTTCACCCAGAGTTGCTTCATTGCATTTTTCACCTCTGTGTTTCTGAGGGTGTAGATTAGAGGATTTAGCATAGGTGTTATCATAGTATAAAACACAGCCACAGCTTTATCAATAGAGAACGTGGTAACTGGGCGCAGATACACAAATATGCAGGGTACAAAGAATAAGACGACCACAGTGATGTGAGACACACAGGTGGAGAGAGCTTTGCGCCTGCCCTCAGAACTGTGAGATCTCAGAGTGCCTAAGATGACCATATAAGAGATCATCAAGAGAAGAAAGTTCAGCAGGCAGATGAATCCACTGTTCGCAGCAACAAAGAGTCCAAGAGTATGTGTGTCCATGCACACAAGTTCCAACAAAGGGTTCAAGTCACACATGAAGTGGTCTATGACATTGGGTCCACAGAAGGGCAGCCAGACTGTGAAGAGGATCTGAATGGTTGCATGGATAAAACCCCCAGCCCACGCCACTCCCACAAGGAGGCTACACACCTGTCGGCTCATGATGCTTGTATAGTGTAGGGGTTTACAAATGGCTACATAGCGATCGTAGGCCATGACTGTGAGAAGGATGATCTCGGCAGCACCAAAAAGATGCTCGGCAAAGACTTGCGTCATGCAGCTACCAAAAGAAATCGTTTTTCTCACAGAAAGAGAGTCTGCTAGCATTTTGGGAGTCATAGATGATGAACAGCAACCATCTAAAAGGGACAAGTAAAAAAGGAAGAAGTACATGGGGGAGGCCAGGGCCCTGCTAGTGCTGATGGTAACCATGATGAGCAGGTTGCCTGCCAGGGTGGCCACGTAGACCATTAAAAACACACAAAAAGAGAGTTTCTGAAGTTTCATATTTGGAGTCAAACCCAGAAGGATGAACTCAGTGACATTATTCATCTTCACTGTCTATTAAGTTGATGAGACAAATGATCATCCCCCAAACAAAAAGCCATACTCATCATCAGTAATAAGAAGTTCGTTTACTGAATAAATGCACCCATGGCTGCTCTCCTCTTTTCTTTGAGCCAGTCCTGGGACTTGAACTCAGGGTCTGGGTGCTGTCCCTGAACCTGTGTGCTCAAGGATAGCACTGTACCACTTAAGCCACAGCTTGACTTCCAGATTTTTGCTGGTTGCATGATGGACTGCCACATGGGCTTTCCTGCCCAGGCTGGATTCAAAGTAGAATCATCAGATCTCAGCCTCCTGAGTAGCTAGGATTACATGCTTTGATTTTTTTCTAATTTTAGAAGAAGAAAAAGAAAGTCCAGCTGTCAATGTTTTATACTCTACATTCTATAGGTCACAGTGAAGGTGTGCATATATTATTTCTTATAATTTTATTATTTGTTTTCAATTTTGTACAGTAAAAAAGTGAGTACATTTTTTAAGTCAGAACACAAATGGTATAATTCTTCAAAAAGACAAAGTTAAAACCTAACCAAATAAATACCAGGAAATGGGTACTTGCAAGAGAGGAGGATGGGACCAAGGGGAGAAGAGGAGAAGAATGTAGGACAGAATGGGGGAGAATGCAGGCAAGAATTCACTGTACATACCACAGAACTGAGAAATATAAGGGAAGAGGTGGGCCAAAGAGGGGCGAAGATGTTGACGTGATGACATAGTTGTACACATAAACTTCTTTGTTAAATTGCAAAAAGAAAATTCAATATATAACCTAAATTTAAATTAAGTAATAAGGAGCAGATTGGAGGAGTGGGTGAGAATGTTGAAGGGGTTGACATGGACTAAGATTCATTCTATTCATAAACTGCTTTGGTGAATGACAACTCCTTTGTAAAGGACTTAGAGATCATAAAAATATTCAAAACACAAAAAATCAGGATACCACACATCAAGTTACAAAGTCAATCCATGCTATGGCCAGCTATACAACACATATAGGTAAAAAAATGATGCATGTATTTTACCTGATGGTAGATAGAAATACCAGAGAAAGGTCCTATTTTTTCTTCCAATTTTTACACCATTCAAAAAGAGTCAAGGACCTATAGATTCTCTCCTTCTTTCATCCTTGGTCCTACTTTGGCATCCTCAGCACTAAGATGCTACTACTGCATCCCTCCACTCTCAGTGGCTGTGGTAGAATCTGCCACATAGCCTCATGCTCATCACCTGCTCAAGATGCTTAAAAACAAAACACTTGTTTTATGACCATTGTACTTCTCTTTATTTTTATATCCATAGTGCTGGCCCAAAGGTAAACATTCATATAGCTAAGGAAAGAAGGTTTAAAAACTAGTTAAAAGAGAAAGAAAGGAGATGTGTTAGAGAACAGCAAGGGAGGGCACACACCTGTAATTCCAGCACTTGGAAGTCAGGAGCAAGAAGATCATTAGCTGAAACCAGCGTGGGCTTCAGTAAAAAGTTTAAAGCCATCTTGGGGTATACGGGGAAACTCTGTCTCCAAATGAACAAAAGAAAGCTAAAACAATGAAGAAATGGGAAAAAAGAGAATCTAAAAAATAAATAAAACAAAGAAAGATAAATAGACCCAAATGTCCAAAATAATCCCAATTCTAAACACTGTTATATGTATATTGTTTTATGTATATTGCCTAGCGTGTGTGAGGCCCTGGGATCAATTCTAAGTATCTCACAGGAAAATGTTTCAAAAAGAGAGATTTAGGAGAACCAGAAAACAGAAAGGAGGAGGGAAGGGGGAAGGTGGGTAAATATGATCAAAGTATATCAAATATATAAAAGATAGATGATAGATGTGGAAGGTGATGATGAAGATAGATGAGGAGATAATAAGTGATAGAGATAGATAGATAGATAGATAGATAGATAGATAGATAGATAGATAGATAGATAGATAGATAGATAGATAGATAGATAGATAGATAGATAGATAGATAGATGATAGATAGATAGATAGGTGAAACTCACTAACCACTGTTTAAAAGAGTATAGGAGAGAGAGATATAAAAAGAGAAGTAAAACTAGGCACTGGTGATGCATCCTTGTAATGTGAGCTACTCAGGAGGCTCAGGTCTGAAGATCATGGTTCAAAACCAGCCATGGCAGGAAGTCCATAAGATTCTCATCTCCAATTAACCATCCCAGAAGTGGAGGTGTGGCTCCAACGGCAGAGCATTAGCTTTGAGCACAAAAGCTTAGAGGCAGAGCGCAGGCCCTGAATTCAAGCCCCAGGACTGGCAGCAAAAATATAAATAAATAAAGAGTAGTAGAAGGGATGAATTAGTACATTTTATAGAAATATCCCAATGAAACCCCTTGTGCAACTAATTTATACTATTTTAAATGCAGAAATGTGAAAAATTTTAAATAAAATGAAATTAAAACCACGAGATTAAAAAAAAAACAAAAGCATGCTTAACTTAAAGAAAAGTTTAATTACTACTTATTTGGTATTTTTGTTTTGTGAGAATTTTTGTCTATTCATTTCATTCATTTATTTGTTAGAACCATACAGAACCAACAAGAAACCAAGAAGAAAAAGACTAAAACCAAGAAAGAAAAGGAAATGACTAGAGAAGAAAAAGGAATGAGAAAAGCTGTAGAGTCACTGAAGAATGACTTGCTCTTAAGTGAATTTTTAACCAACTCACTTGTTGGTCATGGCTCTCAGGATTAACATCAAAGAAAAATACTAGCAAATAAATTTCATAGATTATTCTTCCATGAAGAAAAGGTAAGGAAAAAGGGGATCATTTTTGCAGATGCGTATTGAATGCCTGACCTGTCCTTAGTTGGTTAGAGATTCAACAACACTTAAAATAGATATTATCAGAATTTGCTTCAGCACTATGTTGTACAATTAGAGTAACATTAATTTCCTTTTAAAAAATAGTACTTCTAGACACAAAAACCTAAAGGAAGATCAAATAGAAGAAAATAAAAAACATATTAAGTGAAGTAAACTAGACCCAAAGAAACATAGATTCCTATGGTTTCCCTTATTTTCAATAATTAGTATACATCTAGGATAATCTTAGCAGCTGAGCAGAATAGCTCAATAGCTATGTGCAAATGATCATATAAGATGACACTAAGTAAAATGAACTCTAAGTCATGGATACATGAGGTTTTTCTTTGCTGTTGTTGTTTTTAAGGTACTATGTGATTTTTTTGTTTCCTTTGTATACTCTTCCCCTTATGGTTTATCCCCTGTTGTCACCATATTTGATTTTGGTGCCCTCGTACTGTATATATGTTTATTTGAATTAAGGAAAATAAGGGGGACAACAGAATGGTGGAGACAAAGGACAAATGGAGAACCAATGCAAAAGCAACATACACAAGACAGTATGTTAGAAATGATGTATACAGGTTGTGGGGAGGAGGGAAAGTAGGAGAAAAATGAGGGAAGGGGTAGCAAGTTTCCAAGAAATGTACTTATTACCTTACTTACATAACTGTAACCCCGCTGTACATCACCTTAACAATAAAAAAAATTAAGTAGGTTTTAGTTCTTCAACTTACCAATGCTTACATTCTTCAACTTACCAATGCATGCATCAGAATTCTCACTGTGGCCTGGACATTTTCAGCAACACATTAGTCCAGATAGTGATACATTAATTTTGCATTTAAATAGAATTTGGATTTTGAACAGAGTGAGAGGACCTGGGTAGCACTGGCCCATTTCCTTGCCATAGACATCTTAATGTTTATATCGTTTTATGCCTAGTTATGAGAAATAAGCCATTCTTTCTGAAAGATTAAAAACAGTCAATAAGCTATCACTTTTTAAAGATAAAAAGAAAATCACTCAAAAAGTGTCAGCAGTTAATAAAAGACCACCTCGATGAAAAAAATCTCAATCTCTTCCAAGTTTTTGCTTTAGAGTGTCAACGCCTAATAGAGTGCCACATATTTTGGCTCTTGGAAGTCAGGCTCCTTTCTCTCAGAATTTCAGCAGAATTCCAAGTCTTGGCTTCAGAATGTATCTGGGAGAGGCATGGCCTTTGAGATGAGCTCTGGTCCAGAAGTCCTCATGGCATCACCTTCTCAGTTTCTTCAGCTCTCTTGGTTTGAATACACAAGTTTTATATGATGGGTAACTCTCCTCCCTGTAATTTCCTCAAGGAACCGGCAATTAATTTTAGAAGCCTTGGCCAACATGTCAACCAAACAATCAGCCCACCCCCTCCAGTCCCTCTACTCTGAATAACCATTTAGATGGAGGATTCAGCTAAAGAGCTGAGATCTCTTTCAGCTATATTTGGAATGTTTTATCTCCTTTCTTAACTAATGTTGTATAGCATTACCCATGATAGTAACTATACAATACTATACGCTCTCTATTAAACACATTACACACTGGGTGGCATACAAACAATTATAAATGAATTAACTGAAATGTAATAGAAATAATGGAGTCCACAAACAGATTAAGCCAAAGCTCAATAAAAGGAGTATTAGGATTCGGGTGGGATACGTGAGGAGATGGGATCCAGAGGAGAGGGGCAGAAGGATGGATGGGGGAATGAATAGAATGGAGGCAAAAAGGCATTGAGCATGCCACAGAACTGAGAAAAAATAAGAGAAGTGGTGGGCAGAAGAGGGGATGAAGATGTTGAAGAGATGGCCTGGCTCAAGATGCAATGTATATCTGAATTACTTTGTTAAATGGCAAAAAAATCAATATATAGCTTAAAAATTAAGAAAAGTGAGGGAAGGGATGGAGTGGAGGGGGTGGGTGAAAATGTTGAAAAGAGGTGACATGGATCAAGAAGCACAGTATTCAGAAACTGCTCTGTTGAATGGCGACTCCTTTGTACACTACCTAAAGAAAATAAAAATTTTAAATATATTACATGGTATACCTTTTGTAATGGATGCTATTATTTCCATTTCGCAAATGAGAAGACTAAGGCACAAAGCCACCCCTATACACAAAAAATCAACTCAAAATGGATTAAATACATAAATATCAGGCTCAAAGCTATAAAACTACTGGAAGAAAACTTAAAGAAAATGCTTCCAAATATGTGCCAACAATGATACAGAGATATGGGTGCCAAAAGCACAAATAACCAAAGTGAAAACAGATTAGCTAATAATTGTGTGCTCAGAAGGGAACCAAATGATTCAACCTGTGGAATGTGAGCAAACATTTGCAAAATAGATATCTGATGAAGGTAAAAATTTTTTTTTTAAAAAAAAGAATCAGGCTCCAGCATTTTACTGTAATCCTAGCTAATCAGGAAGCTGAGAACTGAGAATTGCTGTTCAAACCCAGTCTGGGCAGGAAAATCTGTGAGATTCCTATCTCCAATTAATCACCAAAAATATCCAGAAGTAGAGCTCTGGCTCAATTGGTAGAGTGTTAGCCTTGGCTCAAGTGGCAGAGACACAGCCTTGAGCAAAAACTTTGAGGGACATCACCCAGGCCCTGAATTCAAGCCCTAGGAAAAGACAAAAAGTTTACAAACTCATAAGTAAATACATTGGATGGTATACAAATGTGCACAGAAGTATCAGCAGAAACACAGTAGATTCAAAGGAGAGCTCAAATACTGTAATTACTTAGAAAAGCAACATCAAAGTTCTGAAGAATAAAACACTAGGAAGTGGGTACACGGAAGGTGTGGGATTCAGTCAAGGGAGAAAGGGTAGGCAAATGAAAAGAAGAGAGGAAAAAGAATCCAATTTACATGCTATAAAATTAAGAAGAGGGAGGGAGGGTAAGTAGAGGAGAGATGGATGCGAATATTGAAAGAGATGACAGTGATCAAGACATATTGCATTCATAAAATGCTTTGTTAAATGTCAACTCCTTTGTACAACCACCTAAAGATAGTACAAACGGTTAAAAGGAATTCATTTATGTTATTAAATCAATAATAAAAATCTAAGCAATTAAAAATTGGCAAAGAATGATAGTAGATACTTCACAAAGGAAGTTATGAAAATGTCTGTTCTATGTAAAAGAGCTTAAGAGAATCATCATAGAAATAATTATCAAACTCTCATGAAATCTCATCTCACACTTATAAAGCTGGTTGTATCTGCAAGAAAAAGAAGGAAAATGATGGTAAAGATGTAGAGAAAAAGGAATTATTACATGCTGTTAGTGGATGTAAGAATTTGATTTGAACCTGTTGCAACAATGAGAAGTACAAGTTGACATGTCCAAAACAAGCTTTACAAGGTCGGTGCGGGGGGGGGGGGGGGGGGAAGGGGGGAAGGAGAAGGATTGAGATTGGGGGGGAGGGGGGAGGCTGGGAAGGGATGTGAAGGGTAAACCAAAGGAGGAGGCTGCAATGCTTGGTAAGAAATGTACGCATTATCCTGCCCATGTAATTGTAACCCCTCTGTACAGTATGTTCACAAATAAAATTAAATTAAATTAAATTTTAAAAAAAAGAATTTGAGTTGATATAAGAATGAACATTCCTCAGGAAAATATATTTAACTTTCTCCAAAAATATTTGCTTTACTTTTTATTTTTTATTTTTTGATTATATCATTATATTATTTTGCTTATATCAGTTTTCCAACAAGATAAACCTGTAATTCACTCTGCCTCGGTCCATAAGAAGAGGAAAATAAAAAACAAAAAACACCAAATATGGAGGGTCAAAAATTGGAAGCTAGCTGGGTGCTGGTGGCTCATGCCTGTAATCCTAGCTACTCTGGAGGCTGAGTATCTGAGAATCTGAGAATCACAGTTCAAAGCCAGCCGGGCAAGAAAGTCCATGAGACTCGTATCTTCAAGAAACCATCAGAAATCCAGAAGTGGTACTATGCATAGTCAAGTGGTAGAGTGCTATCCTTGAGCTGAAGAGCTGAGGGATAGAGCCAGGCCCAGAGGTCAAGCCCTGCAAATGACAAAAAATAAAATAAAATAAAATAAAATACAAATTTTAAAAAATAGGAAGCTTCAGAATCTATTCCAATCAGATTTCAACTTGCCTTTTACCCCCTTTTTTAAATTTAATTTCATTGTCAAGGTGATGTACAGAGGGGTTACAGTTACATATGTAAGATAATGAGTACATTTCTTATTGAACAATGTTACCCCCTCCCTCGTTTTTCTCCCTCTTTTCCTCCCCCCATCAATCCCTCCCTAAGTTGTAAAGTTCATTTCCAACATATTATCTTGTGAGTATCGCTGTTGCATTGGTTCCCCTTTTAAATCCATGAGGACTTTAAAATCCAGCAATTCAACTTTGAGTGCATATTGCAAAGGTAAGCAAATCACTTATCTCACAGAGATACTCCTAATCCCATATTTCTTACAGCATTATTTATACTAAACAAGATGTAGAAGCAATCTAATCATCCATCAGTGGAAGAATAAATTAAGAAAATAGGTCTGTGTACTATGTTGAATGTGAACTATACAACTTGGGGGAAAGGAGATGTTCAGGAAGGGAATACTAGAAGAAAAGGAGGGAAGAGGTGAAAAAAAGAAGGTACTCATTACCTGATTATGTAACTGTAACACCTCTGTATGTCACCTTTACAATAGCAATTTTTTTAAAAGAAGAAAAAAGAAAAGAAAATAGATCTCTTATGGGGAGAGATTCCATATAATCATAATTAATCAAATACTATTGAATCTTTAAAAGGATTTTCTTCCATTTGAGACAATACGGTGGATATTATACTAAGTGAAAGAAGTCAGTCAGAAAGACAAATATTTTATGATCTTGCCTATGGGCAGAAAAATGGAAAATGAACAAACTCATACAGTAGAGAATATAACAGGAAAGGAGAGATGTTGTTAAAGATGAACTAATTTGCCAGATGCCGGTGGCTCATGCCTGTAATCCTATCTACTCAGGAGGCTGAGTTCTGAGGATTGCAGTTCAAAGTCAGCTTGAGCAGGAAAGTCTGTGAAACTCTTATTTCCAATTAACCACCAGTAAACCAGAAGTGGTGCTGTGGCTCAAAGTGGAGAATATTAGCCTTGAACAAAACAAAACAAAAAAAAGGAGTTCAAGGACAATGCCCAGGCCCTGAGTTCAAGCCCATGACCTACCAAAAAACAAAAAGCACTAAGTTTCACTGGTTTAAGAGAAATGGCTTTTAAATACCTAATGTGCAATAAAGTTATACTTTATATTATACTTAGTAATTATACTTAATAATTATACTTAATAATTCTATATTGTACATTTGAAATTTGCTAGTTCTAAGCTTCTCATTGTCAAAAATAATGATAAATATGTAAAGTAACTAACATGTTAATTTTCCTTGAAGTGACTATTGTATAGTATGTGTATATAAAAAATATTTTAAAACTTTGGTACATTTTAAATATAAACAGTTTTGATTTGTCAAATATATCTCAGTGAAAGCAGGGCTACATCAATGAAAAAAGACTTCTTTGGAGAAAAGTACATTAAAATGGCTACTGTTAATGTTCTGTCCTCATTGCTCTAGTTCACAAGAGGTAGATTTCAGGCAAAGTTTGAGACTGATAAGAAAATTATGTCGAAAAATGGACTTTACAACTTTGGTGCGGGGGGCGGGGGAGTAAGAGAGGAGGATTGGGTGGGGGGGGGGCAGGGGGAGGACGGGGAGGGGGGGTAGGGGGAGGACGGGAAGGGGTGGGAAGGGGAAACAAAGGAGGAGGCTACAATGCTTGATAAGAAATGTACTCATTATCTTGCCCATGTAATTGTAACCCCTCTGTACAATATTTTCACAATAAAAACATAAAAATTTAAAAAAAAAGAAAATAGAAGCTCCCTGTGTTGCAAGAGCCAATACAGAAATTAGAACAAAGATTCTGACACTGGTATTAGGCCACAGTGATATTCACATAGCAGATGTCCCAGTAAGGCCAGATCATATAGCATGCATTCCAAGGGTAGAAACATACAATTCCCTACTCAACAATGCTTTCTTCCCCCAATATGTCTCTCCAGAATATCCACTGCTAAGACAAAATTTTTCCAACAAAAAAGATAATTAAATCCCTGGAGAGAAAGCACAGTGCTGTGTTTTTAAGTCTTTGTGGAAACCTCCTATAAATCCATGTAGTGCAAAATGAAAAGAGGTTTGTTGTTCATGTCTCCAGATAAAAATCCATCGTGAGTGGAGTGATTCATCTGAATGTAGTTTTTTCCACCCTTTCTGCCGTTTGCCCTGTGGGAATCGTAGCTTTTCACAGTCTATCACTTCTTCATAACATGTCAACGAAATCCACCAATAATTAAAAGCTTAGATTTTTCTGTGGAACTATTTTGAGTCTTCGGGTTTAAATGAGATTTATGAAGACACTCTCTTAACAACTGGTGGCTTGATATCAAATTATCTGAAGGGTGTTTTTCATGTGACATATATTTCATATTGAAAATTGTTAACTGCAAGAAGAGGAACTTGGAAGATGTGATTGTTTCCAACATCATTAGAATAATCTAAGGACAACTAAGGTAAGCTTTTCTGTTAATTGTTATGCTTACAAAAGATTCATTTCCTTAAATATTAATAAATACTTTTCAGTTCATTTTAAATACAATATCAGAGCCTTTCCAGACCTAGGGCGCACAATGGATAAACATCACTCACATAGTGTGACAGTTGAAAGCTTTAAGGATCATGGATTTAAGCAATTAAGAATTCTGGGGACCTGAGTTTTGGAGAGATACTAGAAAAGGGGGAAATAATTGTGGGTTGAGAGAGGCTAAGATAGAAGGTAGTACCACTGCTGTTTTAATGTGAAGATTTTCTTATATATCTATATGTCTGATATATGCTATTGAAAATGTGCAAACTGAATTTTCCTCTATAATACCATTAAAATAATTATAGTTATATTGGTCATAATAAAAGATTTTACTATTGCAATATACTAGTCAAGCACTACAGAATATGGGCTTAAAGTCTGAATTAAAAGGAATACATAAGAATAACATGAAACCTAATCTTGGCTCTGTACTTCATTAGTTGCTTGATCTTAGAATATTTAACTTCATGTCTCTAGTTTTTCATATGTGAAATAAAAATAATAGCACCATATCCTAAGAAGATGAAATCAGGAAGTGTCTGCAAAAACATTATACACTAAGTATAAGGTGATATTCTATAGTATTATTGTCATTATGTCTAATCATTTTTTAATATTTTTGGTGCTACTCCTGGGCTTGAACTCAGAGTCAGGGTGTTGTCCCTGAGCTTCTTTTGCTCAAGGCTAGTGCTCTATTACTTGACAGCTTTTTTTTTTGGTAGTTTAATGGAGATAGTTTGACAGACTTTTCAACCAGGTTGGTTTTGAAGATTGATCCTCAGATCTCAGCTTCCTAAGTAGCTAGGATTACAAGCAAGAGCCACCACTGAGATTGTGACTCATTTTCCAAGTGGGAACAACACCAGATTGACCACATAAATTGTTATAAACATTGAATGGAATCATTTATGTAGAAAACTGGGTGACATTCTGTTCACATGGCAATTAACAGTGTAAAAGTATGTATTGTTAGCCATTACAGAATAATCAGCTGCCACAGAAAAAGTTATTACACTATCCTTTACGTCACATAATTCCCACCCTCTTACTTCATCTCTTCTCTAAACAGTCTGCTAACTGGGGTTCCTTTTTCTGTTTTTAATTTTCTTACTGATCATCAGATTACCCTGTTTAAGCATACCTACAAATTTTAAGTAATATCCAAAGTTTTCCTTTCCTCAACCCTCTTCATCTTTCTGTTCATATTATCAGATTCCAGCTAGGCCTGTAATCCTAGCTACTCAGGAGGCTGAGATCTGAGAATCATGGATCAAAGCCAAGCAGAGCAGAAAAACTCATTTCCAATAAACCACCACAAAACTGGAAGTGGCACTGTGACTCAAGTGGTAGAGCACTCGCCTTGAGCTGAAGAGCTGAGGGACAGAGCCCAGGCCCAGATTTCAAGCCCCATGACTGACAAAAAAAAAACCCACATATTATCAGATACCTTCCAAGTGTTTCTACCTCTTAAGAATGCAGAGACGCAAAAAAAAAAAAAAAAAAAAAAACCTAAGCATAGAACTTCCCGTTGACCCAGACATACCACTCCTGGGTATCTACCCAGGACATTACAGCTCAGGATACAGTAAAGACATTTGCATATCCATGTTCATTTCTGCACTATTCAGAAGAGAAGTTATGGAAATAGCCCCCTTACCTTACCATAGATGAATGGATTCAAAAATATGGTATCTGCACCCAACTGAATTTTACTCATCCATTAGAAAGAATAAGATTACATCATTTGCAGGTACAAGCAAATCATGTTAAGTGAGGTAAGCCAAGCTCAGAAAGACAAACAGCACATGTTTTCTCTCATCTGTGGAACCTAGATCTAAACTACAACAGGACATGATAACTTATACAGGACTCTAGGCATTCACACACAGTCAGACTAAAGGAAGAACCCAAAGGCATAATTCATCTGGACATTTAAAATACTATTTAGCAAAACAAATTCCAGGAAATGGAAGCACAGGAGTTTTGGAGGTGGTGGTGATGTTTGTTGGTGATAGTATTTGTTTCAGCTTTGGGATATATTGTCTTTTTAGGGGAGGCTATCTCAAGAAAGGGTCTGAAGCACCTCACATGGATATCTCCGGCCTTGTGCATTCACAAAAGTTTCTCATAGCTATACCTAGAATCTTCACTTGGGAAGCAGTTTAGGCAAAAAAGAAAAAAGAAGAATTCACAGCACACAATAGAATACAGAATGTATAACTTATTGGAATGGAGAAATTTAATAAATTCATGTTTGTATTAATCATTCTCTGGGTAATACAATTATCTGTTTGTATTAATCATTCTCTGGGTCATATAGTTATCTATC